AGGGTTGTTAGGTGAAACGGGAGTCACACAACATCACATGCCCCAAGTTCCCCACAATGTAAATAAAAATCAATTAGCATATTTTCATAAGGTCCCCATCCCTGACGATTTTTTGAACGATAGTAACTACGAAAAACCAATAACTCATACCACAGGGGGATGCCCTTATATCACGATTACCATAGAAGGCGTACTGTTCAAAGCACTAGTAGATAGCGGGTCAGAAATATCGTGTTTTTCTCAGGAGGTTTGGGACAAATTGAAGTCAATGGGAAAAAAAATCGCTGTATTACCTGTGGTAGGTACATGTGTATACAATGCTGTAGGAAAAAAACTCACAAAAATCCAACAACAAGTTTTTACCACCGTATCCATAAATACCAACACTATGGAACAGGTCTTTTTAGTGGTACCTCATTTAAATGAAAAAGTCATTTTGGGGGCCGACTTCTTAGAAATGAATCAAATGTTGCTGGACTTCGAGTCCAACCAACTTACATGGAGGATACGAGGTTGCCTATGCTCTACGCCGTTTGTTGGAAAAACGATAAGCGTTGGCGCAACCGTGAAGATAACCGGCATAGGATGCGATGAGACGGAGGGGATCGGTTCAAATGATCCTAAAACATTAAAACATCAATTAACTGAAACAGAGGGGATGGAGTATAATAATATAATTAAATCTTATCCGTTAGTATTCAGGGATGAACCCGGACTAATCAAAGGTTTCACCGCCCATATTCCAATCCGCCGTGAGAACCCCGTGGTTCAAAGACCATATTTGGTACCGATATCCAAAGTACCAGCCGTAAATACCGAAATAAGGCGTATGTTGGAACACGATATCATCGAACCGTCGTCATCACCATGGAGCATACCGATTATACCTGTATTTAAGAAGGATGGTAGTGTTCGGTTATGTCTTGACGCGCGCAAATTAAACGAACACATCATACCCGACCGTGAATGTCCCATGCCCATAAATGACATCCTCGCCACTTTCAATGGTGTAAATTATATTAGCACAGTAGATTTGCGTAGTGGTTATTGGCAGGTATTATTAGATAAGGCGTCCCGCCAATATGTATCATTCTTATGGCAAGGCCGAAACTATTGCTTTAAACGGTTACCATTTGGGCTAAATATATCATCCTCAGGTTTTATAAAAGCCTTACATCACGTGCTTAAGGATTTAGTTAGTCAGGGGTTCCTAATAATATATGTCGATGACATTTTTATTTCATCACGTAACTTCCGGGACCATTGCCGACATTTAAAATTATTATTTCAACGCTTTACCGATTTTAATGTTACCGTTAATCTTGCAAAGTCAAAATTTTTTCTCAAAGAGGTGACATTTTTAGGGCATATAATAAGTTCCGAAGGGATTCGTATGGACCCTGAGAAGATAAGGGCAGTGCAGAATTTCTTTCCGCCGCGTAACAAACGTGAATGCCAACAATATCTGGGATTTTTAAACTTTTACAACCGGTTCATACCGAGTTATTCGGATACCCTCAAACCTATAACCGATTTAACCCGTAATGAAAACGTGTTTAAATGGGGTGCAAATGAACAACAGGCTTTGAAAAATCAAAAAAACAATTCTTGAGGGATATCACTCTGCGCTACCCCGATTTTTCACTGCCTTTCTACATATCCACCGACGCCTCGGGAAAAGCGATCGCGGCCGAGCTATATCAGAGCACTAGTGAACGACCACACGGAACGTTAGTTTTTGCCAGTCGAGTATTGAAACCTGCCGAAACAAGATATTGCACAACTGAATTAGAAGCACTCGCGTTAGTGTTTGCTTGTCAAAAATTTCGCAATTATATCTTGGGTCACCAGACAATTGCACTGACCGATCACCAGTCGTTGACGTTTTTGAGACGAAGTAAGCTGTTAAACGGTCGCTTAACCAGATGGTAACTGGTATTGCAGGAGTACGAATTAGACATACAGCATGTCGCTGAGAAAAATAACGTTGGGGTGGATGTGATAGGTGTACAATGAAAATACATTTAAATATTAATTTATATAGTTAAGTATTTGTTAAATTAACTTGTCGACATCCAAATCCATTTATTTATTTTTTATTTTTACCTCTCCAAATTTATTTCTTCTCCTTTGAAAACCAGATAATAATTTTCTTTTAGAATGTATTAAAGCGATATAAATATTGTCGAGGTAAAGAGGGGATGCTGTAACGCTTACGCCCCGCAATCTCGCGGCTACCAAAACATTAAAAAGACGGACGACGACTCGCCTGTAGGACGGATCAATTATAGGTGCCGATAGAGAGCGCGCAGCCCATCGCTGTACTCAAAGCGATACACTAATAAGGGCATAAATACCGAATAGGGTAGCGTAGAGCTAAATAAATTAATAAAATACGTAAGAAGTGTGTCGACCATATTGAAACGCCCATTGCACTAGCCACAAGTCGACACACAATTAACAGTCTTATGTAAAGTGGCTAACATTGACTATATGGGCGGGCTATGGGCATGATTAAATATATACGAGCGGACGACACAGTGGTAAGCATCCATCGGTTTAGCCAACCACATAGTGGTAATAGTTAGCCGATTACACCCCCCGGTCTTCCGAGCCATACGCCGCCAGGAGGAGGAGGAAGACGAGGGAGCCGCACCTAGCTGCCAACTCCCACCGCAACTACGCTAGTCGCCGTCGCCGTCGCCGTTGCCGTCAATCCCACCGTCGTGGTACTGCCTGCCGCCCACCTCCCCGTTAGCCGCATCGTCTACAAATTGAGTACAGCTGCCAACTCACACCGTTCCAACTCGTCGTCGTCGCCCCGTTCCGTCGTTGGAAAGTTCACCGCATGCCGTCCACCTCCCCACTAGCCACACCGTATAGCGTAGGTAAACCCTCTACCGCACACTGTGTCGCCCTCGCCAGCAATAGAGTATAGGTAATATTATTCCCCAACTCCTTAGCCTTAAGCTAATCTACTTTTTCAATCACGATCTAGACACCGGTCCGATCGTGATTGCATCCCCGCTCCATACCTTCATCCTACATTTCTACCTCATCATCATTATCATTATTATTATTATTATTATTATTATTATTATTATTATTATTATTATTATTATTATTATTATTATTATTATTATTATTATTATTATTATTATTATTATTATTATTATTATTATTATTATTATTATTATTATTATTATTATTATTATTATTATTATTATTATTATTATTATTATTATTATTATTATTATTATTATTATTATTATTATTATTATTATTATTATTATTATTATTATTATTATTATTATTATTATTATTATTATTATTATTATTATTATTATTATTATTATTATTATTATTATTATTATTATTATTATTATTATTATTATTATTATTATTATTATTATTATTATTATTATTATTATTATTATTATTATTATTATTATTATTATTATTATTATTATTATTATTATTATTATTATTATTATTATTATTATTATTATTATTATTATTATTATTATTATTATTATTATTATCATTATTATTATTCTATAGGAAGCAACCTACATTACCAATCAATAAAATCAATTATTACCTTACCAAGTTCTTTTGCATTTATAATTTATTTAATTAGCATTATAAACCCTTTCCCCTTCAGAGTGAAGGAAGGTAAACTCTTGAGCCCAACCGAGGGTCAAGCGTTACACACTAAAGACACATTTTCTAATACAGTATTTAACGGGTATAAAATGAATGTTTTATTTTGAAATTTCTGAAAAAAAAAATTGCGTAAACTAGCTTAACTTGTATTTTAAAAATCATATTAAAAATAAATAAATTGTTAAAAAATATGATTTCATAAATGTAGAATGTATTTTTTTTTTAAGTACATTAAGACAAAGTAATAGTATTTTACTATGTTCAATATTTTTTTAATAAAAATAAAGTATGTAAAATTTAATGTCAACAACATAATATTTTATAACGTTGTACCTAATACATTTGTTTTTGAACTATATATATATATATATATATATAAGATCGTCTTCTTGCCCTTTTCTGCGGAGAAGGTAATCTTATACCAGCCTATAATGTTCAAAATCTGACTCAATGATCCATCATCATCGACCCCCCTTATCGGCCCCTTGAAGGTACCAGATCCGGTAGTATCCATTTCCGCTTCAGCAGTCATGGCTGTAAACTACTATAATTAGTTCAAACCAGTACAGTCCAAACCAAACAAAAGAATATAGGTATTTCAATCAGGTACAGTGTCCACAGAAATGCACAAAAGCGTTTGTTTGAAAGTAGTTTTATACCCTGAAAAGCACGCCGATGGGTTACTTTCATTAGACTACAAATAGTACTTTACTCTACCCTTCCTCTAGGGTTGTCGCATGTGTGCTGTGTATCTAAGTGATACGTTCTTCTAATACAAAGTGTAGTGTAGTCTATTCCAATAAAAAAAAATAGTAGTATTAATTAAATTAATAAATGAAAATATAGATAGGAAAATTAAAAATTAATTTATTTGATTGAAACAAAAAATGTATGATTGGTGATGATGAAAATTTGATAAAAAGGCTATTGTATTGATAAAAGCTATACAAAAATATTTATTTAGACTATTTAGTGTTTTACTAATTTTTTCTTATTTTACACAATATAATATCCATTAAACTATACGAGTAAGTAAACTATTTATAAGTACAAAATTAGTGGTAAAAATAAAGAATATTTTTTTAGAATACTACTTGAATTTTTGATTACTTTTTCTATTAATATTTCTACTAAAAAGCCTAATGTCCTCCAGCTCCAGAAGAAATACCACTTGAACCACGCTTACTCGTGACACGTATTTTTCCAATATAAATTAACAAATTTCAACAATAAAAATTTTATAACAATATAATCTTGAGAAAAACTTGGTGACATTTTTATTATGATTTTTGAAATACATATAATTAACTGATAATTTTGATATTAGTGCAGTGTACAAAAATGTTGTAAAATAATAATCGTAGTATTATATAATTTTTTATATTTAATGATTAAACTTTAACATGTGGTCTTAACTATGATGATATTACTAGTTAAATTTCTCTAATTTGATAGTACCACCGCCGAGTACGACTTCATGAATTCCGTCCGGACATTGTATGTAATTGCTTACCATGTCCAGTTTAGTAGTTAGTTTACAAACACCTTTTTTCACCTTAGCCTTGACTATATATGAGTCACTTTCGAAATTTATCATACTTCTGAACAACCCAACTAGGCGACACGTGTCAAGTGATTCAACATTCAGTCCACCTTCACCTTAAAATATAAAACGTTTTTTTTTTTTAACAAATTGCAAACTTTGGCTTACTTAATAAAATAAAAAATGTTCCCGTAAATAATTTTAACTAGTATATTTAAGGTTAAGAAGCGAAACCGTAATAACTATGTAGGAATGTTTACTTGCTATTTTTGTAATAGCTTCCATAATTAGAAATCTTCGTTCATCTCCGAGCGCTACTATATTAGCGCTTTCAGCATCTGTAAAAATTTATAAATAACAAAACTGAATAACAGAACTACACTAGCATTGAAATCGATGCATCTAAGAAAGTAACACACTTTCCTATACTTGAAACCCTAAGAACTTATAATTTTGTAGTGTACATTGACTGATCAGAAGCAAACATTTTCAGGGCGTGTGCCATTTTTTGATCACACAGCAGTTATTGTAGAAAGTTTTATTTGTTTGTGGTAGTTTTATACATTTTATTTTATTTATACTATTTATCGAATAAATGTTCCTACTTGGTTCCACCATTCGAATAAATAAAATAAAAACGAATAAATGAGTGTTGATTACCTCTGTCTCCAACAACAGGAGTTACAATACCTGTTAGATAAAAATAAAATGATAATTATACAGTTAAAAAAAATTATTTAAAAAAAAAAGAGATTTGTATGAAAAATGATATTCTGCTATTATAAGCTGACTGATAATATAAGCTGTAATGGCTAATTAAGCTATTTATCGAATAAATGATTGGTTACCTTTTACTTCACGTTGTGAATGTGGATGTGGTTCTAGAAAAAAAAATTATTTATTTATTTTCTCCACTCTACAGAAAAACATTGTACCATGGATATGTTATCTCTTATCTCACATCACTTATCTCTAATATCTTATCATTTATCACTTAACACTTATCTGCTATCATACTAGAGTGTAACGCGACAATGGCAACACAAAATATCTTGTACCCAACCTAATCACATATCCATGTTAAAAGGAAATAATTATACAGCTAGTAAAAATAGGTTTGGATGAGATGATTTTGTTTTTACAATGAAGTATTTTTATATTTTGCGTCAGAGCCAACAATAGCAACCAAATCGCTATCCGATTTCTTCAAATAGCAATATATATTAATAAAAGTCTAGAGAACAAAATCTTTTCAATATAAATAACACAATTTCATTAAATTTTATCCGTTCCAGTGCATTCATTGATATTTAATATTTCTACTATCTACTGATTCACTTCGAAGTCATTATTTATTCTTTTTGCCCACTATGCCCAGAATCCACTATGCTGGCTTTTTAAATTTGATCAAAAACAGTCACACTAAAGCTCAAAATTACTTAGACCAATTTGTGCAATGTATTATATATATATTGTAAGACTCCTATTAAAAAAACTTATAGCTTGACGACTTTAAACTCGATTTAAATTTCTATTATATGTATACAGGGTGATTCATTTTGGGCAAGACACTAGTTTTCTCGGAAATTATAAACATTAAAAAAAAATAATTTTCTATACTTTAAGGTAAACATTGTACTACATTTTACAATACTGCGAAAATTTGTATCTCCAACCCTTATAAAAAAAAAAAGGGTAGGACATCCCTTTTTCAAATGGCAACATTTGTTTTAAACTCCATAAGTATATAGACAAAAGTTTAAAAAAAAAAATGTTAGTGTTTGAATTTTTAATTTTTATCCAATTGTTCACTTGTTATGACTTTGTAAAGATTTGTATTTTTAACTATATTTCTTAATACTTTCATTCGGTTCAACAAAAACAAGTAGTTTTATTACACCAGTCATCACATAAAATAATAATTTAGTATATAAGATCAACCATTATTGGTCACCCTGTATAGGTCTAGTAATTATCAATTTTGAATAGGAATGATAAGTTGTATATTTACGTATGCAATCGCTCATTAACAGTTTAAATATTGTTCCAAGTTCTTCCTCACGAGACGTACTTACTAAAATCCAATACAAAATTAATTGTAATGTAGACATTTTCTTATGATCGAGATCAATATTATGTAAGTGTATATATACATATAGAGCTGAATAGATACACATGAAGATATTTACTCGTTAAGTTACGAATGTTTTCACTTGTCACTGCTAAGTCTGAAATTAAAATGAACGTATTTTAATAAGGAATTATCGAAATAGGTATATTATGTGAAAATGTAATGTCTATAAAATGTAGGTATTATAATTTACCTGGTACAGCCAACATAAGAGAAACATCCGCTGAAATTTAAGTGAATTTTATTTAATAGGGAATTTATGTTCACGGGTTTAATTTTCCATTCTATTATACAATAGAAGGCGGACATCAAGGTCGAAAAAACATGGTACCTATTGCTATATCAAAATAAACGTGCATTAAACAAAAAATATGCACATTTAATATTAGGTCTATTGTTTAAAGAGAGTGGAGACTATGGCTAACACATTGAAATTGAATTGATGCAAATGTACAGAGTAAAATAATTTATAATTATTCGATGACGTAAAAAGTGTTGCCAGTCAAAAGGTTTCAGACTAAAAGATTAAAATATTTTAAATATTTATAATTAATATTTAAGATCACTTAATATAATTTAAGATCACTTTTATACTACTTATAAATATAATAAATCAGTTTTGTTGTAACTGTTATAACTTATACAGTTTAAAAAAAATAGTCTACCAGCAACCTTAATCATTATTTGTTTTATTATACAATTATGATTACCCATCGGTTTTGATCCACCTAAAATATTTTTGACTGCAGTATGTAATTTTTCTAGAATAAGCAAATATTAGTTTTAACTATATGACAAAATTCATAATAATATAGTACAACATTTTTCAGGGTGTGTCAATGTAACCTAACACTTCTTTCGATATACTTTTTCTAAGTAAATTTTAAAAACTTAGTATTGAGTATGAATATAAATAATTTTTAATTTTGTAAGCTGTTTATAATGTATACAATGTATAACTATAACTAAGCTCATTCATTGACAATCTGAACGGAATGTAGAAACTATAATTTTTTATTAGTTGGTGAACAGCCGAGACATAACAAGTTACACGTCGGTATATTGACTGATTATTTTACCTGCCCTAAGAGTCTGACGGATATAATCATCTGTAATAATTATTTAAGAACATTTTTATAATGACAATACAATTAAAAAACATAAAAATGTAGTATGTAACAAGTAAAAAATGCAACTTACTATTTATGATAACCTGTTTCATAAATTTAGCTGTAAAAATAAAACGTTAAATATTAAATAATTTTTTTTAATTTTAACTACCTCGAGTACGAGGCACGTGTTGAAAAAAGCATAATTACTTTTTCCTGAATTCACAAACACGATAACAAACGAAAATAGTATTGTTATAAAGTAGAGTTTCATTTTTATCTGAAAAAATATAAAAGCCTTATTAATACAGTTGTCAGTTTTAAAATGAAATAAGTACTGCACAATATCACTTATTTGAAAATATTCGAATTACATCCAAACTTGTGTGGGATAATTTTTTGATATACCTTTAACCTAAAATTATAAGAATCTATTAAATTATAATGAACTACTTTTTGTATGATTTTATGAAATTATTTCTGAAATAAATACTTGTAAGTCTATGAAGTTGGCCTAGCGATTAAATATTACCACTAGTCTATACACAAATGATTTCAAAGGCGTAATGATGTTGGTAATATTAATGCTTGATGTCAGTAGTATTATTTTCTTAAATGACAAAAATTGTTAACTAAATTGCATTAAAGTGGTTTTAATATCAGTAAAATCTAAATGTATTATGCAGAAAGGTCTATGTACATTTTTTTCACTTCAAGCGGCGTTATTTTTTTTATTGTTTACTTTATTGTGGCGTTTTCAAAAACGTCGGATTTTAAACTTCTGTTGTCGTGCAAAGAGTACCTAACCACAAAATATGATTGCAAAATGTATTAAAACAAATATTGTAAGAAATGAAACGCAACGAACTAAACCCCAACGTTATACAATCTGGTTTAAAGTTATATCAAAAATATAGTAAAATATACTATAGTGTTTATAGATTTTATATTTATAACTAGAAAGATAATAAACATAATGTTATGACTGCAACATTAGATATAGTTTAGTAGTATCTAACATCGCGGGTTACTATACACTATTGGCTAGCTCATTCAGTGCATCTCTGTACAAATAATGTGAGATAGTTACTCGGTATTAAACCTTATTACCGATGTCAAAGAGAACTGGGCCCACCCCCGCCATGCCCCAAACCCACTGTAGTGGATTTTTGAATAATTATAGGTGTTATGTTTGAGTTTAAGACAGTTTTCGACATAGTTGTAATCGTTGAATATGTTTTACAATGTATTTTTAACAAATTGAACAAACTATTGGGGCAACTCTTGTTTCGAACAAGTTGACACTGGCATTGTTGGGGATAGTCTGTAATTTCCGAAGTCCTAAATTGTGTAACTATTTCCCGGTGAGTATATCATCGTCTTCGTTGTGTCTTACAGCACTCATTTGCCGTTCTAGAAAATATAGACTTAAAATACAAGGCAAACATGATAACGTAAAAGAAAGAAAAAATGACATATTCATAAAAATTGCATAGTAAATAAGACGTATATCGGTTTTTAGTGAAACCTGATAAGATCATGAGTGGTAAATCTCACATAGCCCATATTTGTTATGTAGTATCTATTTGCGTTTTATTTTATATAATTGTAATCATATTGAATATGTCACGGAGTTTATATTATTGTTGTTAACTTTATGCAGAAAATAGATAAATTTATATTTAAAAAAATGCATCAATTGGATCTGTAAAATAATATGGTAAAAATGTAAGTATGTGCCTAAATCAACACACAAGTAACAAATGTGATTATGATGGTGAATAAATTTGTTTATTATAAATTACAATACATTTTGAATTAACAACTTGTATATTGGTGCATAATGTAAATATTATTTAAAAAAAAAAACGATATAAGTACTATAGCAATGTAGACGAGTTACATAATAGAATTCTGGTGCAAATTATCTATATTATATTAATATATTAATAATTAGTTTATGTATATCATAAAACAAACACTGATTCAAGACTCGAAAAATTCACATTGTCGAAGACATGACGCCATTCGCCCATAACTCTTTTGTATGTTTCAGTTGAAAAACCATCAAATGTCATACACTCATCAGTGTCAGTTTCAATATCTCTTATATATGACATTGGAAATTTTGCACTCACGAACAATGCTATCAAACGGCATACCCATAATTCAGAGAATTCCTCTTGAGATCCAACTAAAAAATTTGCTAAACTTAGTTTACTTTTTACTAATTTTCCGTAACAAGACACAAACTACGGCTCGTAACCGGATATTGTTTACCTACAATAATATTGTAGTATTTCTTTATGATACAAAAATGTAGAGAGTAAAAAAAGGAGGTGCAATAAAACCTCTGCTATGTTGTTCTCTAGAATATTACAATATATAAAACACAAAAAACGACTTGTAAATCGCTTGTAAATAGTTTTGGAGATTGGGGGATGAAAATAAGGGTATTTTATAACTACTAATATTTATTTGATTTTTATATATATATATGGTCAAACCCCATGGTTACAACTCTATACTAATATTTACCTACATCCATGTGGAATATATTTTTTAAAGCTCGTTTAGTATACGCTCTCCTCCGATCTCCAAGGTCTTTCAGAGTTAACCTTCGATAATCTGCAAAAAATGATTAAACGAATGTGTTTATAGAAAATTATGATTATTTTTAGCACATATGAAATGATTTACATATAATAGTATTATTTCATTGAGTTTTTTAAAAAAAAATGTAATAACCATACTGTTTAGCATAATTAAACTGTTTTTCGTTTATAATTAAATACAAACAAATTACTTTTTCTTTTTATCCTTCACCTTCATTCCAACTATTTGGGATTTGGGATCAGGCCCCATTTTCCTAAACCTACACTCAACACGGCCACCACAGCGTGTTCGCATGTTTCGGAAGTCCTCGTAACATTCTCAATTGCATCCCACCACTTTTTATCCGTTTGCCCCCCTCTCTTTTATCCTACGTTTATTTCCATTAACATTTTTACTGTTTTCGATTCCTATCTCCTACCTAAGCATTGTCATCTCTACTACACTGATTCTGTATTAAATTTTCCTGTCAACCGCCCAACACACCGAAGCACACAACGTAGCCATTTTCAACACACTCTTGTAAGACCTATCATTAAGTTTCATTGAAATTCTTTTGTTACATGAACAGCTCTACTTTCTACGTGGAATTAAAAATTTTTATTAAATGTTTTATTATTAAGATATACATTTTGATAAAACTGTTGGCATTCTCAATTTGTGTTAGTGACATTTAACTTATTGAAAAATATACATTGTATACAAAGTGCCTATTGTGTTAGTAGTTAGTTTGCTAATGCATTAATGCAAAATACCTTAATTCCTTAATAAAAAAAAACGTATACATTTTATTTTTATATAAAAAAAATAGTTTCCATCATCAGGCTCGGAGAACAAAATCGTAGTTTCAATAAATATTTTTAGAAAAATCAGGAATGGGTTAAGTCCCATTTTCTCCCTCTTACTAAAAGTTCATTTTCATAAAATTATTGCGTGACTGTAAATATTACAACAAATTTAATTATATTTAAACACTAAACAAGCCTTAAACGATTTTTACGAATAATGAAAAATTTGTAATTACCTGATTCTGGAACTTCAGGAACTTCAATTTCTGTAACAGTTATATCAGATATTAAATAACAATCACTTTAAAACTGAAATTAGTTAGATCAAATAAATAATGCAAATTATTGTAATAATATTAATTTAATTCTAATAGCAACCTTTGAATTAACGGTGTAAATTACATATCGAATGGTTTAAACATAAAGCGAGAATATTTTTAGATTTAATTTTTATCGTTTTATCTCTAAAACTAAGGAATTAAATATTTTAACAATTTTCGCTTAAAAATGTTAAATTTTATATTTACCATGTTCATTTTCTATTATTTCTCGCAAAACTGTTTGATGGATTGCACTCTCTGTAACTTACACAAAATACATTTTAATTTGTCAAAATCGTATACTTAAAACCAATGTACATATTATAATTATTCTCCACAATATATAAATATAATAAATTAGTGTAAAGTATTGTAAATATGGAATATAAGTATGAGGTTACCCTCAAAGTCATTCTCGAGTGGAGTATCTGAAATTAAAAGGAAAACATTATGTACTTAATGAAAATCAAACGATTGTGTGAAAATATTTCCAATATATTCATTGAAATATATTACCCGGTATAGCTATCATATTCAAAATAGCTCCTGAAATTAACATTGCATATATTAATGGTTTTGGATTTATTTTTCTATTCTGTTGAAAATTGTATAATTCATCACTTATACATTTGATTTGATTTTGTATTATTATATTTATATTTATAAAATATTATAACTACCTAAACTATAAGTAGTATTGTCTTCAATAATGCTTTTAATCACTTGTTCCAATACACCTGGAATAAACAAATAAAGGTTTCAGCCTTTCAAAAAACTAAAAAAAAAATCAAAATAAATATAAAAATCATCAGAATAAGCACTTGTTTACACCTTATCAGATTGAATAGTCGCTTCCTAAAGCCAAGTGTATTATATTATAGAAACAATTGTTCTAATATAAACACACATTTTTTTATGTCTATTTTAGTAAAGCACACAGTGTTTAGATCATTGGTTGTATACACCTCGTACACTTTTCTGAAAACTTTGTAGAGACCATATTTTTTAACTAAAAAATAAATTGTCTGATACGACAGTC